GCGCTGCGGGCGGGAGGAGCCCTTCCCCGGCGCCCGCCGCCCCGCAGCCAAAGCCTGCGGCCCTCCGCGCGGAGCCGGGACGAGCTGTCCAGCCGGCCGCGCCTCCGCCCTGCCTTCCTCTCCCTCAAAGGCCGCGGAGCAACCACGCCGCCCCGAAACCGCCACCCTCAATTCCGCCGCTCGCCGCTACCACGGCTCCGCGCGAGGCTCCCGCTCCGCCAGCTCCGGACGCGGCGGCGGAGACGCGGCGAAGGCGAACGCGCCCCGGCGCCCAACACAGGAAGAAGGAGAGCTCTGCGCCCCCTGGTGGATAAAGCGGTCGCTACGCCTGTCCCCGCGGCCCGCGCCCCACCCGCCCCGCCCCGGAAAACGGGTCACGACCCTACTAATCCCCCTCCAGGAGCCCGACCACAGACCTGCTCACATTCCCACATCCCCACCTCTGCCAAACCCCTATACCCAGCAGGGGAATGCCAACATTGCAGCAAAAAGTGCAATTAGCTGAGAATCAGAAGATGGAACGGGGTCCCCATGCCTAAAGCTGTAGTAGAGACTGCGACCACCACTACTCACGCCTGCGCAGAACTGGGTGGCGCCCCTTCTGGCCTTGACACCGACCCAGCGTCTGAATCCTAATGAACGGCTGCTAAGGGGCTGCAGGTTCTGCACATCCCTCCTCCTGTATCCAATTTCCCGTCCCCATTCTTCAGCTCGAGATTCACTTTGAAACTTGCCTCTTTCTTTATTTAGATAACGGGGTCAGGGCCGCGGCAGTCGGGGAAGAAGGACTGACCTAACCTTGGGTGGTGCAGTGACCCCGCCTCCAGCGGTGGGGCTCCGCTCTGCACCGAGCACAGCACCTGCCCCAGCTTAGCTGTGGCTGCCCCTGTGCCGAACAGGGGCGGAAACCTCGGCCACGCCTCTTTCTCCTCCTCTCCCACAGCCCCAGACTCGGACGCGGCCTCGGCTCACCCAAACTTATCTTCCCGAGAATTTAAGAGGGTGCCGCTGGCCCTTCACCTGCGAGGGGGATGTGGATGAGACACGGAGCTCCCACCGCCTCGGCTGCACAGGTCTGGCAGGCACAGAGCAGGGGCCTGGCGCGGGGCGGGGCCTGGCGCGGGGCGGGGCCTGGTGCTCCTGTTGCGGCGCCGCTTCCTGGTTGGAGTGGAGACCCGGTTTGGGGCGATGTGCGTTGCTGGCTCTGAGTGCCCTGACCGAGCTCACCGAGGCTGATCTTGGCAGCCCTCCCGGTTGGCCTGAACAGGGTGGGTGTCCATGTGGACCACGGCAACGAAGAGATGATCTTCTGTTCTTTACTCCTGTTTCCCCGCACAAAGGTCAGGTCCTTAGAGCTGCTCTCTGGTGCGGGTTGCTGTGCCCCGTGTCCATCCTCCTCTTGGCCTCAACAGCCCGAGCCAGAAAGAAAGGCTGAGATACGCAGGAGGCTGTGCCTGCCTAAGGCATCCAGACAGGGAGGGCAGAGGGACTCAGATGACAGCGGATGGGGCGGTGCTGTGAAAGCCTCAGCTGCATCCCGGGGACATGGAGGTGGGGCCTAGACTTTCCCCAAGCCGACCCTGGCCCCTCCCGGGTGTCCCCTACCCCATCCCAGGATCTGGACCCCATCTCTTTTCCTAAGATCTGAAACCCTGACTCTGGGCTTTGTCTCTCCAGGGGCTCAGCCAGGCCATCCCAACACTTTTGCAAATGACTGCTTACATGTCATCCTAGGATGACTACCAAGAAGATGGCTAAGTGAAAAAAGTAAGGCGGGAACCACACACATGGTATGCTAGACGTCACATAAGAGGAAATAAATCTGCATATTTATTTCCTTATTTTTGTAAGTAGGATAAGCTAAAACCTAATAAAAAGTTATATAGGGAGGTAAACTTAGATGGAATGGGAATTATTTCCTGAATTTTCTCATATTTTGTACACTTGACTTTGACACTATGTAAATATTTTACATCATTATAAAACAGTTAAACAAGACAAAATGAGCCAACTTACTGAATTGGCAGCTTATCCATTAGACAGGAGTTATTTTAAAATGCAATAATCTGACTGTATTTTTTAGCAGGATACATGCCAAGGATAGAAAATTGCAATTAATCTTAGCTTTTTGTTTATAGGGGTGATAATAACATTGATATGGTTATTCTGACAGGTCTGTGTATACACACACGTTGTAGGACAAAGCAAATAATGATGTTAGTGCTACTAGTGCTACCTTGATTGAAACCAAGATTTTCAACTTAAAAGATTAGATTTGTGTCTTATGTGACATAAAAGAGAAACACATAGTAATTCTCAATTTGAGTTGTAACATCAATATAAACATTTGCTATATTTTCTCTTAAAATAATCAAATTTATTTCTTAGCTTTGCCCACAGACAAGGCCCAAGATCAGAAGCTCGCTGGATCTCGATCTCCATCAGAATCACTCCAGCACCGTGGGGATGATGTCTGGAAACCGACTGGGAGTTACCAGACAAAAGCCAGCTTTTTCCATCACATAGATCTCGGG